ATGTATATTGTATAGTGTTTGTTTGTCAACGATCTATATCCATCGAAGAGTACTTGAGTGGTATTCCACATGCATTTCCAAGTATGAAAACTTCCATTGCATAAAAAGATTGGAATATATTATTATATTAGATCTATTACAATTTGTGTTCACGGTAACTTAGACTGGTGAAAGATGACATAATTTTACCGATTGTCATAGTACAGGGCTTTAGCGAAACAGTAAGTGAAATTTTATGGCTCCATTGGCTTCTCAAGGATTTGGACTTTTCTTCTGATGGACCTACGCCTTTATTTTATGACAACCAATTTGCTAGGCACATTGCCAACAACCCTTCCATGAACGAACAAAGAATGTTGAAATGGACTACTACTTTGTTCGTGAGCGAGTAACATCTAAAAAGATTCTACCTCTCTGCATTCATACGACACATCAAGTAGCCGATTTGTTAACCAAAGCTTTAGGTGCACAACGTCTACAATTTTTATTATGCAAGTTGGGCATTCGGAACTTACATGCTCCAACTTGAAGGGAAATAAAGAATTTCATCGTAGTTATCACCATCCTAGCGGATTACTATGATACTAGGTTATAACCCGTGGACACCACAGGTAGAAAACGTAAAAATATTTTTTATTAAAATTTTAAGGTAATTATTGACCAATGATAATAAAAAATTAAATAATTTATAAATATAGTTGTTTTGTCTGTAAGTTCATAATGATAGTTCTTAATGATATAATGATAGGTTAAAACTACGAAATCATAGTGATTTGAATAACTGATCGAGAATTTGTATTTGTAGATATGTTAGGAAATTATGATTTTATACAATGCAATATAATTTTGAACATAGTTTAAAATAGAAATGGAAATATTAATGAAAATGGTATTCTACGAAATTTAAACTCTATTGTAATATAATAAAAACAAGCAGAGACAAGAAAAAATGTATGCATTAAAATGCTGAAGTAATGTTCATTTATTAATAATAAATAAAATTTGATATAAATAATAAAATTGTACAAAGTATTTATAAATTTCTAAAAACTTCTTTATACACAATATTACATGTTTTATTTGTTAGTCTACTATTTTTATATAAAATCAACAATTTTAATCATTTTCTACTTTGAACTATGAATAAAACAACATACAGTTGGTGAAATGTAAAAACATGGTCCTTGAGAAACAAACAAACATTCGACAATGAGTGCCGTTGACTCTTATTAATTGTAATTACAATTTTATTATTATTATTATTGTTATTATTATTATTATTTTGCATTTGCTTGATCAACTTTTATCATTTGAAGTCATTGAAGTAGATGATGCTGATAAAGACTTGGACAAGATCAATGTGGTGCAAGTTGTTTTAAGAAAACAATCATACTTTTAAAATTAAGTACAATAGTATGCTTAAAAATGAATAATTTTGGCCCAAAATTCCAAGGTTTCCCATTTATCTTACTTTCAATCCAAAACAAATAATGCTCTCCAATTATATTTACCAAACTTAGAATTTAAAATTTGTTAACATAAGAAAAAATGAGCTCATTTATGCAACAAAATGAGAACATGATATCTACCTAAATATCTATTTGAGATAACAATTTACTTTCCTCATTTGTAACTAACTACCAAATCCAAAAAATCAAATAATAAAATAAATCATAAACAACATCGATGATAAGAACTTAATTTTAAGAGTTTTTGTAAAGACATGCCTTTCTTAGATCACAAAGACGTAGCTTTCCTCACAAGTCACAAGTAGAATAAAAAAAATGTTAAGTGATTTGAGATCAGGTCTTGGTTTAAATTGGCAATTATGAAAATTAACAAATTATTAGTCAACAAAGTAACATAACCATTGATATTATGTATACCAGATTCCTCAAGTTACTTGTTGTCAAGCTGGAATGCAAAACACCACCAACAATTGAATCTCTAACAGATTAAGAGAAAACACACAACAAAGAGTATAAGTAGATGAAAAAAAGAAGAAGAGAGATATGACTAAATTGTGATTAGGAAAAATGCTTACAGTTAAACAGATAAAACCCTAATTGGCATAAGTTAAACTGATTCAACAAATAACAAACATAGAAAACCAAATTTTGATCAAAATAGATCCAACATAACCATTGAATTATGTACACCAGATTCCTCGAGTTACTTGCTGTCAAGCAACAATGCCAAACACCACCAACAATTGAATCTTTAACAGATTGAGAGAAAACACATGACAAAGAGTATAAGTAGATGAAAAAAAAGAACAGATATACGATTAAATTGTGATTACGGAAAGTGATTACAGTTAAGCAGATAGAACCCTAATTGACATAATTTATACTGATTCAACAAATAACAAACATAGCAAACCAAATTTGATAAAAATAGATCCACCATGTCAGTGAAAGTGGTAGCAAGAAACATAAAATGTAAAAAAGAAAACGCATAAAACAAAGATCTAATCTAGATATATAGTATAATGCTTATATGGGGTTCTATAAAGTACCGACTTTGAATGGGATTGTTAGATGTCAGTATTGGTTTCAAAGGTTAAGGTTTTAGTCGTTCATAGCTCAAAGATCTCGATTATTTACAGTCTACATAACAAAATGAACACAAGAAACATAAGCACCATGAGTAATACATGATGGGGAAAACTACGTTGATCATCATACCTGTATTGCCAATGAAATAGCTCTAGCTCTGAATATGGTGGTTCTATCTACAACAAAAACCTTATCTGCCCAAAATTCTCCATTAATAAAATTTAAATAAAGCAATTAAATCAATGAAAGAGCTCGAAGCATAATGAGAAATAAGGGAAGGAGTCATGGGAGCGGCCGAGATATAGATGAAGGTGAAATCATAACAAATAAAACCCTAGAATCTAAGGATACTTGACGAAAATTTAGGTTAACATTTTGGGTTTCTTTAGATTTGAAATATGAATTTGAATGAGAAATAATTACTTAAATTCATTTTTTATAATTATGTAGGAATGGGCGGGAAATTATTTGTGTGACGCTTTAGAAATGTGTCATGTGGCAAAATATGAATATAAAAAATTGACATGTGGCACCTTAAAGATTCTTTTATTAGAAGCTTTATCATAATTACTTAGCGAATGCCCGCGCGTTGCGCAGAAACACCTATATTGTTGAAATCTTTACAAATATATGTTTTTTTTAAATATAACAATAACGTTGTTGTTCAATTTGATATAATAATTCGTATACTAAATTGATACAATATATTGATTATTTAGAATTATATGATAATATATACATCTATTATAACTATATAATCTCAACCGTTTGAATGATTTCTACCCGCGAGTTACTCATGAATAAAATTAAATATAATATATAGCTTAAATGTTATTTATAGTTTTTGGTATTGTTAATTAAGTTTTTAAATTTTATTTTCTTAACGTTTTAATTTCTATCATTATAATTATTTAAAACATTAGACATTGTTTTTTGATTTTAAAGGTAACAATATAATCATGTATATAGAGTTATTTTTAACTATTGTTATTGTAAGTTATTTTAAGCTATTTATTTCAAAACTTTTAACGATTATACAAATATCTTTAGGAAATATTTTAGTTAAATTGATATTATAATTTAGTTTTTGCATTTAACACTACAATTTATCATTTTTAACTATTCACAAAATATTCATTGGGTTTTTTAAGTAGAACTGAAATTTATATTTAAATTGACATTGTAATGTTATATTTAAATTAACAGTTTAAGTATTTTGTCCAAACTGTTCAAAAGTTGTAGCTTCAAATTGATAATGGTTTACATACAACATATTAAATCTAATAAATTAGGTATAATATGTTAAAAGTTAAAGGCATAACTTTATAAGTAGAAGTAAAAATATTATTTTAATATTAAAATTTAGTTTATTTATGATTACACTTTAGGTTTGATATTTATTTAACCTTATTAACCAACTTATAATCATTATTAGAAAGACACTATAATTTATCACCTTTAACTATTTACAAAATATTATTTGTGTTGTTTAAGTTAAACTAAAATTTATATTTAAGTTGGTCATGTAATGTTATATTTAAGTTTATAATTTAAATATTTTATACAAATTGTTCAAAAATTGTAGCTTTAAAATGATAATGGTTTACATCCAACAATATATTAAAACTAATAAATAAATTATGTATAATATGTAAAAAGTTAAAAAAACATAATTTTATAAGTAGAAGTAAATATATTATTTTAATATTGAAATTTAGTTTATATATGATTACACTTTAGGTTTGATATTTATTTAATCTTATTAACCAACTTATAATCATTATTAGAAAGAAATTGAAAAGTAATGAAAGTTTCAAATGAATGTGGTGAAAAGAAAAATGAATGCAAATTTCAAATGAATAGGGTGAAAGAAAAAATGTTTCCTTTATTTATAATATAGTATGATTATGATTCTAGTTTGTTTCCAATTTGGATACGTTCTTGTATTTCAACTCTCGTTTTCAATGAATGCAAACCAAACTTTTGAATAATCAATTTCCTTACCGACATGCTTAAGAAGATAATGTTATATCTTTTAAATCATCCAGAATGGACCACACAAATTTCTTTGACTAAAAAAATGAGTTCGAATGAATCAAAATATCAAAATATGTTTGTAATTCATACATCTTAAACCTATTTATAAAATGATTCTTACCATCATATTTAAAGCTACAAAACTACCAATACGTACGTTTCTACCCATATACACATTACTTCGATTTGAAATCGAAAGGCGGACACACGTGGTCCCTCATCGTTTTTATGTAGCTAACAAACGTTTGTGTACTAAAGATTTGTTTTCCCAAAATACAATTATAATTATAATTAATATATAAATTTCATAAAATTATAGATTTTCTGACTAGCTAATGATTGGGACCGCGACCATTCTTTTAAAGGTTAGCATCTTCCTTAGCAAACTCGACAATCTAAACCAAAATGAGTTGCAGAAACAAACCGCATGCAGTTCTTGTGCCATTCCCACTCCAAGGCCATGTAAACCCTTTTATGAAGCTCGCGAAGCTTCTCCACTTTAATGGCTTCCACATCTCCTTTGTCAACACCGAATTCAACCACCACCGTCTCATCCGCTCCAAAGGTCCGGAGTCCGTCGAGGGTTTGCCGGATTTTCGGTTCGAGACCATCCCCGACGGCATGCCTCACTTAGATCAAGACGCCAGTCAGGACATACCGATGCTTTGTGACATGACCAGAAAGACATGTTTGGTTCCGTTCAAGGAGTTGTTGCAGAAGTTGAACTCGTCGGCCGGAATCCCACCAGTCAGCTGCGTCGTCGGAGATGGCCTGATGACCTTTGCGATAAAAGCTGCTAAGGATTTTGGGATTCCGGAGGTTCAGTTCTGGACTTCTTCGGCGTGTTCTTTCATGGGTTTTTTGCATTATAGAGAGTTCATCAAAAGAGGAATTGTTCCTTTTAAAGGTTAGCAAATCTGCAAATGTGTATTTGCTTTAAACTTCATGTTTTAATAATCGTATTAAACTGTGTTACTGTGTAGATGATAACTATCTAACGGATGGAACAATGGAAAAAACAATCGATTGGATCCCCGGGATGAGCAATATTCGTTATAAAGATATTCCAAGTTTCATTAGAACAACAGATCCCGATGATATCATGCTGGATTTCGCGGGGGAGGAGACCCAAAATAACTTGAATGCTTCCGCGATTATCTTCAATACTTTCGATGCATTAGAGCACAAAGTATTAGAAGCCATTGCACCCAAATTCAATTACCACAACATGTTCACACTCGGCCCTCTTCACTTACTCGCCAAATACGTTCCAGATGATAGTCCAGTACATTCGCTGAATTCGAGTTTATGGAAACCAGATTCCTCATGTTTGCAATGGCTAGACCAGAAGAAGGAAAGGTCTGTTATCTATGTCAATTATGGAAGTTTGGCTACTATGACAGAGCAACATCTGATTGAGTTTGCATGGGGTTTAGCAAATAGCAAGCAATCGTTTTTATGGGTGGTTCGACCAGATGTGACAATGGGGGATTCAGCGATTTTGCCTGAAGAACTCTTGAAGGAGACGAAGGATAGAGGACTCATGGTGAGTTGGTGCGAACAAGATCAGGTTCTGGCCCACCCACCGATCGTCTCATCCTCCCATGAACAGTTGTAAAGCTTCTTCTCCAAGAAAAATGTACATTCGCCTCTATATATACCTCTCAATCCACATAAGAATTTAAGTTCCAACTCTCTCTCTCTCTCTCTCTCTACATACAATCGGGTTCCTTCCACTCGAAGGACCCGACCTCATTTCGTATCAACATTAACTTGATCGTCGGAGGCTGTTCCCTGGACATAAGTCCTAGGGCGACTCTAATGATCATGTTTATGTATGTAACGGGTATCAAATCGAGGCTTGCTAGTAGCATCAAAGCATACAGCAGAAGAAACGACTCGATAAGCCTCGTGACGAAGATCCGGGTTACATCATGGCCCAAATCACCATGCCCAACCAAGTTGCTTCCACCCAAACATGTTGTTCAGGTATGTCTACATTTATCAATATAATTGCAGTTTGTGAAGAACAACAATTTAATATTATGTACATTTGTAAGTGGGTAGACCCAAGAAGAAAAGGAAGAGGGCATACGATGAACCTGCTACCCAGGGGCATAAACTGTCCAAGAAGTTGACCATTGTTACATGTGGAAAGTGCAAGAACAAAGGGCATAATTCACGAACTTGTAAAGGTCAAGGTGGCCCTAATAAAAAAATGAACTGGAGGCACAAGAGGAAAGAAGTGAGGATGGGGTGTTGCTAAGTGTTAGGTCTTTTGATGTAATTTACAACTTACTTTTATGGTTTTGTTAATACATATGTTTATGTAACAAACAATAGCTACTTTGGGCTCCTTATTTTGTATGGCCATGCATGTTGACCTTGAATCATTATACACATAGGTAAACTATGAAACAATGTCAACTGTTGTTGTGATATACAATAGCATTTTTGTTATATTGTTGTTCTTGTCAAGTAATATTTGTGATATTCAAAGTGTATGGACAAATGGAAACAATACAACACACATACTGAAATTAAACCATTTGATTACACAAAGAGTATATCATTCAGACAACATTAACCAAAGCACAATTTCTTGTATTTAGACTCAAAAAAAACACAAATACTACATAAACCATGCTACATTAACCTACGACCAACAAAACACTTCCTAATTCAGACACCATGATCAGACACCACATTCAGACACAACTTCCACCTTGCTTCAGATACCGAATTGCAAAAAGACCCCAACTTAAGAGAATGATTAACTTATACATCCTAGCTTGCATTGTAGCTTGTTGAAGAGATTCTTAGAGCTTGTTCATAGAACTGATTAACCCAGGTATCACTTCCACCGATCTAGGGCACATGGGCTCATCAGACCACCCAATCCAACCACACCTTCTCTCATTATGAAGACAAGACTAAAATCGCCTTCCAGGGTTGCGATCTGACCAGGAAGTAATGATGGTTAGATCACGATTTCCACAAGCATATATCGACATTTTCTGCAAATTTCTTTCTCCAATAATAGAAGTGTTCGATTGAATTGGGGGGGGGGGGGGGGGGGAAGGAGAAGACGTAATATAGGCGTTAAAATTCTGTTCAGAAAATGTCCTTTAGGGTAAATTGACATAAATACCCTCATGTGCAAGTCACATGGGGCAGGTTAAGACCGGAGTGGACCGACATCCAACTCGGGGACTATTCGCGTGCAACTTAACGTCCGTAGGTACCATTTGTGGGAAAGAACCATCGTAACGACTACTTTAGGGAAAAAACTAAAACCTAAAGGACTATTCGTGTAATTTGTTCTAATAATAATATAATGTATTAAATTTGTTTATTATTTACAAAATCTTCTTTTGCTTGATGTGTACATCAACCCGAGCCTTCCTTGAAGCGCATTTGTCTTCAACCCTAAATATGTTGTGGCTTCTTTCCTCTTCCAACAAGATTTCATCAAGAAAAATCAGATTTCAATAAGTTTTCATCAAGAAAATCATATTTCAGCAAGGAATCATAAAAAAATAATCAAAAAGCACATGTTATTTGGAATTTCTTACCGATTTCTAAAAGTTTGAGAGGGTGGTGTTGTACGACAACAGAGAGGGCGACAGTGTTGTGCAAAGGTGGAGAGGGCGGTGTCAGTGATGTGTTGAGGAGGTAAGGTCGACAATGCCGACGTCGAACGATGGCTAAGGAGGCAAGGCCGACTGTGTTAGGATGGAGGCATAAAGAGGGAAAACACGTTTAGAGTTAGGCATGGAGTCGATCGAAGTTGAGAATGGTGGCGTTGGAGTTGTACGATGGTGGCACCTTCTAAGCAGTGCGATGTTAGAGATGCATGATGTTGAGGAGGGTAGTCAGTTGTTTGATTTAGACGCGAGGGAAAAAGGAAAATGTTAGGTCAAATAAAGAAGACACATCTCCTTTTAAGCTCATATCTAACCCAATAAGATGCTTATTTTCTATTCGGATGTTATATTAAGTGCTACCAATCTTACAGATTTAGATTTAGTGCTGCTTCTTATTAAGAAGTATTAAGATGCTACCAAACACTCACTCACTCAATTGTCTATATTGAGTCAGTCGTGCAACTTGGCAATCTAAGAAAGTGCTCCTGCTAGTTCATCATCATTCACTCCAACAACTAAATGGAAAAGGTTCACCCAATTGCTTCCATAAGGAAAATTGGTTAACACAACTGTCCTTACATGCTTAAAATGTATGAATCCACAAACAAGGTCTATATTAAAGCATGCTGAAGACATTATGATTAAGTTTCTCATGAATCCACAAACACGGTGTGTGAATTATCTTTTAAACCATCCAGAATGGACCACACAAATTTTTTTGGCTAAAAAAATGGGTTGGAAATATGTTTGTAACGCAAACATCTTAAACCTACTTATAAAAATTATTCTTATCATCCTATTTAAAGCTACAAAACTACCTATACGTACGTTTCTACCCATACACAAATTACTTTTATTTGAAACCAACTTTGCGGTATTCCACCCCTTGCTTGTTTTTGGTCCAAAGATGAAATTCTTAATGATAGTTGGTTGTATTCACCTATTTTTGGAATAATAGCTTGGTCTACGACAAGATTAACCGCATTTTATATGTGTCGGATTTATTTACTTACTTTTGAAGGACATTTAAATGTTCATTTTCAAAATTATAATGGAAGAAGGAATACCACCTTTTATTCAATATCTGTATGGGGTAAAGAATGTTCGAAAATAAGTAACAAAAACTTTAGTTTTGTAACTTTATTAAAATTGAAAAAGAATTCACATCCTTTTTTTTTTCAAATAATAAAGTATATAAAATTGATGAGAATGTAAGAAATATGATACAATCCTTTCTTTCTATTCCGCATTTTGGCAATACCAAGACGTATTGGCATCCTTATGAATCGGATAATACAATGTTATTGATTCTATTTACTTTGTTCGTTGGATTCTTAGGAATTCCTTTCAATCAAGACGTTTGAAATATTATCCAAATGTTAACCCCGTCTATAAATCGTGACACACATGGTGGTCCCTCGTCAATATTTTGTAGCTAACAAACGTTTGACGGTATTGGTCCCTCATCGATTTTTTTGTAGCTAACAAACGTTTGACATATATTCGTGTACTAAAGATTTTTTTCCCCAAAGTAACAATTATAGTTAATGTATAAATTTCATAAAAATTTATAGATTCTCTGAGTAGCTAATGATTGGGACCGCCGAACATTTATTTAATGGTTATTAGCATCTTCCTTAGCAAACTCGACAATCTAAACCAAAATGAGTTGCAGAAACAAACCGCATGCAGTTCTTGTGCCATTCCCACTCCAAGGCCATGTAAACCCTTTTATGAAGCTCGCGAAGCTTCTCCACTTTAATGGCTTCCACATCTCCTTTGTCAACACCGAATTCAACCACCACCGTCTCATCCGCTCCAAAGGTCCGGAGTCCGTCGAGGGTTTGCCGGATTTTCGGTTCGAGACCATCCCCGACGGCATGCCTCACTTAGATCAAGACGCCAGTCAGGACATACCGATGCTTTGTGACATGACCAGAAAGACATGTTTGGTTCCGTTCAAGGAGTTGTTGCAGAAGTTGAACTCGTCGGCCGGAATCCCACCAGTCAGCTGCGTCGTCGGAGATGGCCTGATGACCTTTGCGATAAAAGCTGCTAAGGATTTTGGGATTCCGGAGGTTCAGTTCTGGACTTCTTCGGCGTGTTCTTTCATGGGTTTTTTGCATTATAGAGAGTTCATCAAAAGAGGAATTGTTCCTTTTAAAGGTTAGCAAATCTGCAAATGTGTATTTGCTTTAAACTTCATGTTTTAATAATCGTATTAAACTGTGTTACTGTGTAGATGATAACTATCTAACGGATGGAACAATGGAAAAAACAATCGATTGGATCCCCGGGATGAGCAATATTCGTTATAAAGATATTCCAAGTTTCATTAGAACAACAGATCCCGATGATATCATGCTGGATTTCGCGGGGGAGGAGACCCAAAATAACTTGAATGCTTCCGCGATTATCTTCAATACTTTCGATGCATTAGAGCACAAAGTATTAGAAGCCATTGCACCCAAATTCAATTACCACAACATGTTCACACTCGGCCCTCTTCACTTACTCGCCAAATACGTTCCAGATGATAGTCCAGTACATTCGCTGAATTCGAGTTTATGGAAACCAGATTCCTCATGTTTGCAATGGCTAGACCAGAAGAAGGAAAGGTCTGTTATCTATGTCAATTATGGAAGTTTGGCTACTATGACAGAGCAACATCTGATTGAGTTTGCATGGGGTTTAGCAAATAGCAAGCAATCGTTTTTATGGGTGGTTCGACCAGATGTGACAATGGGGGATTCAGCGATTTTGCCTGAAGAACTCTTGAAGGAGACGAAGGATAGAGGACTCATGGTGAGTTGGTGCGAACAAGATCAGGTTCTGGCCCACCCATCGATTGGTGGGTTTTTAACACACTGTGGGTGGAATTCTACGACCGAGAGCATATCGGAAGGTGTTCCGTTGATATGTTGGCCTTTCTTCGCAGATCAACAAACAAATTGTCGATACTGTTGCATTG